GAAAAAGAATTCTGGAGAAAAACAGAGCTGTTTTCTGTGACAGATTTTAAACTTTCACATCAAAATAAAGAGCAGAAATCATTGTTTTCACCAATATAGCTTCCACGAGTTTCCAACAGAATTGAATTCTGGGATAGAAACAGGAGTTTTGCCTGGTCATCCTAATGACAGGACCCAGTGTCGGCAGAAAATGTAAATGCAGAAAGACCATAGGTACACAACTGCTTTCGTTTAATATTACGAAGAATGTTAGTTGCTGCAGCAGGTCTTGGGACAAAACGATTTGTTTTGCTACAACCATTAAGGACAAGCTGATATTTTTTTTTAATTAAAAAACAAGTTTTTGCTACTAGTACAGCTTTTTCTTAACAAGAAGGTAAAATTTTAAGTGGCCATTTTTATTCCTGGTACCGAGAACCACAATGACAACAAGCAAAGACTCTGACTTTTTTTTCTTCTACATTGCTTTGGTAAATGAGGAGCAACAGTAATGCCAAGGACTGAAGTTCTTCATACAGACTGAAAGCAAGCAGAAGCTAGGGACAGGCAATCACAGATGCAGACCAGCCCTTGACAGCAGCCAAGATGCTCAAGGTAAAGCAGGAAAAGGAGTGTTTGCTCCCAGCAGGAAAATGGGTATGGGAGGTTGTAAAGAGTATACATTGCTTTGGTAAATGAGGAGCAACAGTAATGCCAAGGACTGAAGTTCTTCATACAGACTGAAAGCAAGCAGAAGCTAGGGACAGGCAATCACAGATGCAGACCAGCCCTTGACAGCAGCCAAGATGCTCAAGGTAAAGCAGGAAAAGGAGTGTTTGCTCCCAGCAGGAAAATGGGTATGGGAGGTTGTAAAGAGTATCTTTTGATACCTCAAAGAATCCCTTTCTTCTTCAAAGCAGCTGCAAGCGAAAAGGGCAAGATGAGGCTTGGGCTGACAACTGTCAGATCCTGCCCCACTTTTGACGCTCTCAACAATGGATTTCTCTACCTGGCAGTTTACAGAAAACTTCCTGGGACAAGATCCTCTGTTAAGAATAGGGACAAGCTGTATTTTTCAGAAATGGCACCACTACGACACAGTTCAGAAGGCTTCTGGTCAATACACCTCTCTTTCTGCTAGCCCCATCAATGACTGGGGAGACCAACCAGCCCCACCTACCGTCTCTCTTCCGAAAAGTGGCTCTACCCACCAGGCCAGCCTCTCTCTCTTCCTAAAACACAGCTATAGAACACAAAAACACACTAGGCAAACTTTGCTATAATTTAAAAAAAAAAAAAAAAAGCCATTACAGATTTTGAGCCTATTAGGGTTTTTTTTCGGTGGGTTTTTTGGGGTCTGCTGTACCCCCCCCCCCATACTGTTCTAACACTGCTGCAAACAAGTATTTTCTCTCCAGTAGCCTTCTCCCCATTTTTGCTTGCTACTAATCCTTGATTTCTTTGCCAACAGAGATCTGCCCCCATTTTTCTCAAATCGCTTTTCTACGTGGCCCCACCTCCACGCCCTTAAATCTGCAGAGACTGTGCCATCATCTCTCTCTGATGGCCATTTCAGCACTTATTTTCTTAAAAATCAGCAAAGGTTGACAAAGAAAGAAAAAATGGTATACCCTTTTCTTTCCTCCATCTTTCTTCTACTTTTGAAAGGAGCTACAGCACGATCAAGAAGAGCCATCCAGGTATCTCAGCACGTTAAACCAGCGGGCATATAAAAATGCTTTGGGTATGGGTATTCATCTCCCTCCTAACACTATGTCTCATTTCCTCTAAATCTTAAAAGTTGTATAAATGTTAATACAAAGGCTCGCATCTCATCAAGATGGACAGATCATCATACCTCAAGTCTGGAGGTAAAGATGAAGAAGCTCCCTTTAGATCAAGCTACAAGCTAGCGGCAGAGGCAGAAACCAGTAACGCTATCGGTTCCTTGGCCTCCAATCCAATACCACGTACTTTTTTTTCTCCACCTGGAGAAATACCCTTTTCACACTAACATTCTGCTCCTAAAAACAGAATCTACTTATCAGATTCAGCCTCTCCTTACAATCTGTATTTTGATTGTTAAGAAGTCTCACAGAACACAAAACCTGCAATTTACCCTATTAACCCAAACATCTTAACAATCCCTCCCACATTCACAAGAAAATGGTCTGTAGGAGGAAAGCTTGCCTTGCAGTCAGATGCACAAGAGCATTAAGCTCTCAAGTTGGATATGATTTCCAGAATTTTTCCCTGAAAACCAACTCCACCCATTTCAATCTCAAAGACACAGCCTCAGACAATGCTGGGTGTGCATGGAATACTTCCTAATCCATGAGAGCATCTATTGCGAAATAGGTACAGTATGTATAAGGGGAAGACCAGATGTTTAAATGTCTTCAAGTTGACCAGTTGAAACGCAGTTTTCACTCAAAGCTACTACGGTCAATGTAAGTACAATTCAATAACTATTTAATAGATTCACGAAACAAAAAGGAAAAAATCATCATAAACTTAACTGCACAAAACAGACTGGGAGAGGTGAAAGGGTGGCATCAAAGTAAAAGCTCTGTGATAAAAATCTAACTGTGTGTCACGCCAGCCAAGCGGACGCTGCTGCATCAGCTTCAGAAAGACGCTGTGTGGAACGGATTCTTAGCAATTTGTAGAGGGAACAGAACGCTCACCTCAACTTTGAGCTGTGGCATCCCTGTATTGCTTAAGCTGGGCTTTATTCTGGCGTTCACACAGCAGCTTCCTCCCCTCCCCATCACATGCAAACGTATTTCCTCCTGCATTCCTTGAAACCGTAATACACCTTGAGCAGCTCTTCTAACAAAAGCATTCACCGCGCTACTTTTCTACGTTACATTGTGTGCAAATACGTTTTATTGACGTAACAGGGAATTCAGCCAATCGGATCAGCTGTCTAGAGAGATCTGAAATCTTCTCTGAAGACCACTCTTTTTCCCTTGAAGGGGTCTTCTCTTCACAGAGAGAGCCTTAAAGACCTGCCTCCGGGAACGGGAGACTGGTCTCCATTGTTCCTTTACTCCTTGGCCTCTCTTCAACACCCAAAAGCAGGAGAAAAACGGACTAGCCTCTTTTTCTTTTTCATCATGATGTATTTTCCCCTAAGCTGAAACAAGAAGCCAGTTAGTAGGAGATACTAATTCATTTATGTAGTATTGGTAACTGTGTAACATAAAAGATATCTAGTACGCAAAAAAGATCATTCCGTACCCTTTCTATTCAGAATGCAACTACTCAGTGCCTTTGTAAATTAAAAAGGCTAGGTCGTTTCCTCCCTATGGGAATGACAAACGGAATCTCAGATGTTTTGTAGCATTAGGAATCAATGTGATCTGGCTATCTCAACTGCTCGACTTGTGACCTGATGTCGTAGCACGCTCCCGCTGACTACAGCGCGACCTGGGAAACCAGTTAGTGGAACAACTATTACCACCAGCCCCTCCCAGAATTGCCTCTTCTTCAGACCTTGGCTCAGAGTCTCGGCCTCGGTTACAGCACTATGCAGCTAACACAACTCCATGGATCTCAGCAGTTTAACACAGAAGTAAAACCTAATCTCAGATTTAGCGTACCTCTAGGTATGTTTAATCCCTCAGATAAAGCTAATAAAAATCTCATGGAAGTGAGAAGGAAAAAGCAAAGAGACCGACAGCCATGACTTCCATGGGAAATGGAGAACTAGGAAAAATACAGCTCCAAGCACCACCTCACTACGAGTAACACTGCACCTCTGCATGTACCATTAACGCATGCCCCTTAATACTGGTTTCCAGAAGAGCGTTATTCAAGTTGGTGAAGGTATTTTGTTTTCCTTTTTACCATAAATTAGCTAAGGCTTGAAAGCGAGCACACACTTCCAATAAACCAATAGTGTCTACCATTACAGTAGTTTCTAGAATGCTGTTTTGGAGGCCACACCTCAGGACACCGAAGACCTAAGAACAGTTG